CTTAAGTCGATAGGAGCAATTGTGACATTAAATTGTCTTTAATTTAAGCATACATTTTAATTTATTGCATTTACACACTTGCCGTGTACACTGCAATAAATAAGCAATCAGAACAACATGCAATGAACACGAGCTGCAACAATTGCTCCGGACTGTTGACTACTGACAAGGTTGTTGCTATTGTAGCTGCTCCTGGTGTAAACGCTACAGCGCGGCCGTGCAATTAACTTTCTTATAAACGAAATCGCAGCAAAAAATCGTAATGGCAATTGATCAACTTCAATAAACACTGATCGAGACATCAACAATAAAAAAGGTTGAGAACAGCAACAGCAACGGCAATAGCAGCAATAGCGGCAGTAGCAACAGCAACTACGGGCACAACAATTCCTAACAAAAGTGTTGTCATTCAATTAGAACGCAAAAGGGGCAACAAACAAAGCCCAATAACGACAGCAATAACAGAGCAATAACAGCAATAACAGCAACTGCAACAACTGAAATTATTGCAGAAAAATCAACAACAAAAAAATCAACAACAAAAAAAAAATTAAAATCGTTTACGTTGTGCTAAACTGAAATTATGTGACAATATTTTAACGATGACGACGTATCAATCGATCCGCACCCAATTTTCTGTTTAAGGATGCCAGACTTTAAGCCATAATTTCAGTTGCCGGTAAGTGCCAGAGTTGTTGGTGTCAGACAAAGCGTGTAACCGCAACAGTAATCAACACGTCAAGAAACGCGACATTTTTACGAGTGCAATTGTTTCTTCACCAATTCGTCCGTCCATCCGATCGTCTGTCCGTCTGTCCAACAACCCAACCATCCGTACAATCGTAACTGAAAATGGCTAAAAAAAAACAAGTAAGTGGTGGCAAATTTCAGTAAAATGCAATTGCAGGCAGATAATGATGGATTGTTGAATATGTATGCGCGCACCCATGCACCATGCACCATACACCATACACCATATACCAGGTACTCAGTTACACATTCACTTAGCAATGTAAAATTGCAATGAAATTAGCGCTTCGTTGTCAGCAATGCACTGACATGAGCAATAAGAATTTTTACATTTTCTCTGGTGTATTTTGTGGAAAAAACTTGCCTTCTCCAAGCATTCACACACCATTTTTGGACATGCAGTAGAGATACTATGTATGAGCACTGCTGCCTTGCCTGCCTGAAGCGGGCAATTTTTTATAATTTTCGCGAAATAATTGGTAATGCATTAAAGGCCAACCGAGCAGCTAGAAGGTGTTAGTTCTGCACTTTATTGACAAACTATAAATAATGAGTTGAAAAGTGTAGAGCAATATGCACTACAGCCCATGTACGTGATAGAATTATAGTTGGAAAAACACTTAATAAAATCTATATAAAGTATGGTGTATCTATAAAGTGTAAAGTATATGCGCAAAAACAAAAATTAACTATAAATAGTAAATGGTATAAGAGCTTTACTGCAAATTGCAGCTTAATCAAGTCATTACCTTAGTTTACTCATAAAAAGTATTAATAATTAAAAGTTATTACATTAGAGACCACACAGAATTGACATTCTTTTTTTAACGTTTTTTAACGTGCCCGAGGAACAAATAAAAAGTTGTGACAACAACCTACAGTAGTTTGATACAAAGAAAAATATCTTTTATAATATATGATTATATCTTAAGATACTCGCATAATTAAAAATAAAACAAGAATTCTTATGACTCTGCACACTTTGAGTTGTTGGCACTTGGAAACTTAAACACCCAGCAGGACATCATCTACAACAGCCTCGGAGTTGTCAACGAGTGTCTTTCGCTTTCTCAGGCACATTAAAATGCGTGTGAGACTTTATATTATTTTATTCTGTCACATGCAATATGCAAAAAGATAAAGTTGCACTTAGTCTAGGCAGGTTGAGGTGCAGACATGTAACTGCATTAAAAACACTTTAATCTCAAAGTACAGACAAGACAAAACATGTTTCACAGCAGCATTCAAGTTAATTTCATAAAATAAAATGTGTCCTTACAAAGTACTCGATCCCAGCGGGTTAGCTAAGGCGTTATCTCACAAAAAGTTTAGTTGAAGCAATGAATGTTTATTTTATTTAAAATTAAAACTATTATTAATAATTAAGCATTTTATGTTATATGACATAAATCCATTTCGAATAGAAAAATGTGGTAATAATAAGAAAAGCTTCAAGTTCAGACAGTCTGCAAAAAAATCTGCAGACGTATAAAGATTGATAAGATCAAATTTCTTGACATTTGTAGTCCAAAAACAATATATGGACAATAAAACCAACAGAAACACTACTTATGATAGTTATTTGACGTTATCCGAAACACGTGTATGATCAGCCCTTTAATGAATGAAGTTTTTTAATCAAGTAAATTTTTGGGTTGACCATATACCTAACTGTTTTGGATAATGCTAAATCCATCCTATCTAACATAAATGGTCTTTGTGAAAATATGTTAATTGAATTGAGTTGACCATATAACTGTTTCGGATATCGTTCATGTGATCTGTTGATGTAATTCTCCATAAAGAAGTTGAAAGGATTAAATTATCAGACAGCCGTTTAATCAATTAACTCTTTTAATCCAATAAATTTTTAGGTTGACCATATAATTGTTTCGGATAAGATCAAATATACCACGTTTGTGGTCTTTGGAAAATTCTATTGAATTAATTTTTATAGTCCAATATACGAACAATGAAACCAACAGAAAGAAAACTGATAATGGATATTTTGTTATACCCGAAACTACTTCATGGTCAGTCCAAGAATTTACTTGATTCAAATAGTTTCTTTTGGGTTCGAAAACTGTTACTAATTAAATAGGTATTATTTTATATTATTTTTATTATTATAGTATTATTTTTTATTCTCAAATATAGCAACTCGTTAGTCATTACTTAAATTTAATTTCAAGTGGACTAATAATAATTTTTATTTTATAATCAAAATGTACTTAAATCCGGTAAATAAAATTTAAATGGTTAATTATTTTTTCAAATTGAATTACACATATGTTATGGCAGCGGTTCAACCTTTTTTGAAAATACTTCTCAAGCCAATATCGGATTGGCAAATTCACACTTCACTGCAACAACTTCATCAGAAAGCTTACCGGAATGTAAGAAAATTCTTCCCTAAATATGAAAATACTACAATATGATTCTCAGCACCATGACCTTTATAGTCAATGGATGAAATCTTCATTATAGTTTTAGTGTGTTAAAGTATCACATTGTGAGTTTTAATGTCTTACACCAGCCGGAAAAAAAGTGGCTTAATTTTGGTAAAGGTATGAGTATAGAGAGCTCCACTCCATTTGCAAAACTTACTGTTACGTGATAGGGTGCAATGCCCTCTCCATATGCATAACTTCCGAAGAAGTAAGTTAAGCAGCGGACATTGGGAATATGTTGACCAATGATTGAAAATAGTGTGTTAAAGGCTTATTAACGCTGGGTGACAGTTTGGTTTTATACCCATTTTCAGACAGACTTTTAACCATTCAAGTTGTAGCTCAACTGTTAGGGTTAAACCTGAAGATTTCAAAATATGTTTAGCACACTACGTGCAACTTAGTAAGCATTTTTTGGGATTTAAGTTGTTCCATTTAAGCAGCTCAATTGGAGTCCCAACAGATCTGGAGATTGCAGAACAGAAACAGTTTAGTGAGCTACATACACCTTATGATTCATATGGTAACGCTTTATGATGACCAAAATATACAAATTATTATTAATCTTCCCACCTATAACCAAAATTCTTACTTTAACTAAACAAAAAAATACAATTATTTATCTAAAAAACCTAAAAAATATTATTCATTGACTGACTTAACCATGTGGTTATTTTACAAGACCCGGAGTTTGTTATTAATGTAGCTGTAGAAATAAAGTATAGTATTTTTTAATAAAATTGATTTAAATATACTGAAATTTTTTTACCAATCGTATTTAATTTAAGTGACGTTGTTAATTTAAGAAAAATACAAAATTGCTTAATTAGTTGTAAATTATTGAAGTAGATAGTCAAGTTGAATGAATCTGCATCAAAGCATTACCGAGAAATCGAATTTAAATAAAAAAATAATAAAATACTTAACAAAGGGTCGCTTAAAAAATGATAGTGAAGAAACAAAAATAAAATAAAAATACAACTTAATTAATAAAACTGGATTCATTCTTTGGGACATTAAAATTAATCGGCGATTTATGCATGTTTGGACCACACTGAGAAGCCTAAAGTATTACGTAGACTCCGAACTTTGCATGGAAATTAGTAGACAAAAACTGTCAGCTAGGTAGCCAGTGACAAAATCTGTAAGCCACCCAAAGACACGTTTAAGCGAGGTGTGAGGTAAATTGCAAAGATCCAAATTTGTGACAAAATTATACAGAAATAAATTTAAAAAAATTTACAAAACAAAAGAAAAAAAAAAATAACCCAAGGAAATTAGTAGACAAGTGTTTAACGTAAGCCAAAGCCAATATATTGGATCCGTGTATGAGTACCCGTAAAGGCACGATAAATATTTATAAATAAGATAAAGCAACAGAGTGGAAAATCTTAATTAAGCCGTAATGAATAATAAAGCGAGTCATTGGATTACAAGATTTTCATATAAATGAAAATTAAATATACAAAAATCTACACTAAAATTAAAACAAAATACGTAAACGGATATGGGTTCGAAATTTTGAGGCATTTATATTCTCTTGTGCGATGATGCAAACTCCATGCAAGTCACTGATTGAAACCACATGATGATCACGACACAAAACTGTAGCAATTTACTTACTGTCCATTGGTATTTAATGGTCTCCGTCGCTATCCAATGATCAGCCAATTCTGTCACGTTTCTCTAGTAACTATTTTGAAAAAATACTGCAATACTGCAATATTGGAATAGAAAAAAAAACTTATAGAAAAGTTTCTCTAAGTGATCGAGTAAACAAGCAAAAATTTGTTTGTTTGCCTTTTTTGGGGGCGGCGTCTAACCATTTTCGACTTCGCTACATTAGCATTGCCACCAGAACGTCGCCAGCCACAAGATGAAATAGGCGCACAGCCTCCCACAACAGTTGCTGCAATCCATGTGCGCTGCTGCTGCTTTGCATATAAGCAGCGCCGATGCTTATAGTCAGTCCCAACAGTTGTAGTTGCTCCTACCGAGACGATGATCAATTCTGCGCACTTTGGCATGCCATTAGCCTTTTTTGCAGCAAACGCCATACAACATTCAAAACATATGTAGTTGAGGCCAGCGGACATATATAGAATGCCTCGTTTTCGTCTTCATCTTCAACTTTTTAGGTAATTTTACATTTAGTTTACATACACCATTTGCAAATTGAGGCCAAATCAATATCGTTGCCGTCTGTCCGTTTCAGTAGAATAGAAGCATATTGTGTCTTATGGATGGGCGCAGCCATTATTATTCGCTAGAATTTCTTGACGACGAATTCCTCAATTGTTCGCTTGCTGATCTTAAATGCTGACAATTACGTTTCGTTACGTTACGTCGTGTTACGTAGTTGTTGTTGACAGTTTGTGCTCATATATGGTTGCGTATTATAAACGCTCTGTGATTTCGCGTTGGTTAGATGTGGGGAGTGTAAGCTGAGAATCAAATTTATCAATAAGACACCAGAGACATCAAAGTCAAATGACGAAAGCATAAATTATTTTCAAATCAGTGAAAAAATAGATAAAAAAATCTATTTATAATTGGTTGCTTTATAAAATCCAATAGAAATCTGAAGCCATTTGATTGATTATTAGCTTAATGTTTTCTTTTTTTTTTTTTCAATAAATTATAATTGATTTATTTGATATGAAGGATATTAATTTAATGTGACATTTTACTTATACTTAAACTATACGTCACCTATCAGATGATGAAGACATTTTTAAAAATATTTCACAATTATTTAATTAAAATTTAAATTTAAAAAAATGAATTGAATTTTGAATATTGATGTTTTAGTTAGATATACAAGACGTGACTCACACTTTTGGCAATAGAATTTAAAATTATTTTGTTTAAATATATTTATTTATTTTTTTTCGATTTATTTTCTTAACTCTAGAATTGTTTAAAATTTGTGATATTATTATTCCATCCTTTGTTCATATAATATCTATATACTTTAAGTCACTCACATTGAACACTCACTAAACAAAAACAAACAGCCAAAACGCGTTGTGTATAAATAACATAGAGACAACCACGAAGCGAAATTTATGTCAGGACATTTTTAAAAACAACTACAACGTATTGTAGATTATAGTTACCATTGTGTAGTAGCCTAATGTTACTAGAAAGTGAGAAAGAAGTTAGGCTAAAGTTGAAAGCTTAGTTTTAGTTCTGAAACTAATTTAATTTTTAAAGGTGAGGTTAGGTCATACAGGTGATCATAAGGATTTGTTTAGATCTATTGTCCGTACCATAATGTTTCCGCATAAAAACTCATAGAATCTTCAAAAATCAATAAAAAGAATAAATATATTGTAGCTCCCGAAATTATTTCAATTAAGCAAATTTTAATGATTACAATTATTTATTTTTATAGGAATTATTTATTTTATTTTATACTATTAAAGAAATACTTATTAAGGGTAAACTACCTTAGTTCCTGAAATAAATTTGATTTTAAAGTTGATTACGACAAAAAAATATATTTTTGTAATAGACACTATTTTCTAGTAGATTTATTTTCTTTTAAAATTTTTTTAAATTTGAAACCTACAAGGACTAGTATTATATATATTTTTATATTTATATATTTTTATATTTATTTTTATATATTTTTATATTTGTGCTTTTAAAAATGAATTTAAATTTTTTTAACAACATAATATCTTTAGCAGGGCCTTTAGAAATCAAAAAAATTTACTTATGTCCGGGTGATAGACTTAAACGAAGTATAAGTGACCTTTGTTATACATATTTACATTTAATTAAATTACTCTTAGTAATTACGAATAAATTACTGGCATAATATTAGTCGAGTAATGCATCTCCTGTAGTCCTCATTAATAATCAGTACTTATAACAATAGCTAATATATTTCTTCGGAATGTATATCCTTTATCAACTTCAAGTACTTGAAGTATAATGCTTATACCAACATAAATTTAAACATTTTTAAATTGAATATTAAACTACCACATTTCTTCAAACTGTTTCTTTCGATAACACATAATACGTGTTGTATTATCAATAATCATATCCATCTATTTATTATAAGTATCATCACACAAATTTTGCTTTAAGATCATTAGAAGTGAGAACTTAATAAGTGGTTATAGACGACGACGAAGAAAACGTAAATTGTAAAACTTAGCACAAAATACAAACAACACTTGTTCAATACGATCACGTAAAGAAATGCAATGCTATTTTTTAATAACATTGCTGATATAAATTGTTTGCTGTATTTACATCAAGACACCAAAATTCAATTGTTTCTTGTATTGCTCCTCATATTTTTATTTCGGTACGATTACTGAAATGCATTGTTTTCAGTAAGGTACAACGACTCAGCTGATTTCTTACAGCCCAACTAATTCAGTCTTCCACCACAACGTATTGTGGCTGTTTTTATAAATGTTTTACTACAAATTTCGCGTTGTGGTTGTTTTTTTAACTACCACAATGCATTTTCATCATTATTTCAATACTTTTCTTTCAATTTTAAGCCTTATATATACAAACATATAGTCAATATTTGTATTTTTACAATATAAATTATGAGTAATTTACTGACAAAATAACTGATGTATCGAAAAACTGGATAACAAAATAAATATCTTTTATTAATTAAAAATTGATTATATATTACGATTATTGTTGAAAAAAATGAATTGAAGTCAGCTCAAATTTTGTAGTACTTTCTAAACAATTTTTGGAATACTAAATATTAAACAACCTTTCAAGTGATGACTTAAAATGAAACCTCTGCTAGAGTTTCAATAGACTTCAGAATTATTTATTTAATATTTATTTTTAAAGTAATTTTTTAATTAATTTTTTATTTAAATATGTTACGTGCAAGTAAGTTATATCTCTAACATTTTATGCGAATAAAATTCAATTTCTTTCTTGCCACTCAATTTATTTTGTGCCACTCACCGTTCATATATATCATATACATACTCTAAGTGTAAATGCGAGTATATATAATATCACTTATAATACAAATATGCCTGAACTATGAAATTTCCACTTATACGTATAAAATAATCAAAGGAAAATTTCGAATTTCCCACAAATACGCCGCTGCATTGAAATCTTCAAAGCCCAGCGCCGCCATGGCATTAGCATCTTTAACAATAATGCCAGCTACTAAAATGACTTAGATAAGCCACTGTTAAAAGCCACCAACAGCACTTAAGGCCGGCCTTACCTGTGCTGGTGGCAAGCGCAGCAGAGACCGAAGAAAATAAATAGATATGAGTGTTCGCAATGAATTGATCTGCGTGCGAAGTGAAATTGTGGCTTCCGCAGCTCCAACGACACGTTGCTCGTGCATGTACCATGACATTTTTAGATTTGTGCGGAATTAAAATTTTACTTCGAGACTAACTAAGCACATGTGGCCGAGCACATACAATATGTAAAATATGATTAATAAGTGTCAAAAGTTGACTATTGCCAGCATAAAATGGGCAATTTTATAAGAAAATTATGAAAATTATGCATTTAGCTCGGTGGGTAAATGGTGTGCAGCAAGCACATTGCACTGAATGCAATGCGCTGTGCCGCTGATAAGTAAGTGCTTGATAGTAGCATGCAAATGCTGCATTTGTGACCACCATGAAAGTCAGTAGTCAGCAGTCAGCAGTAACATCTGAAAGTACAAAAAGAATAACACCAAAAGCAGCAAAAGGTGCCACATGCAATCCCATGCCACAACACTGGCGAACAGCAAAAGTGGCCATACTGCGGTATGGTATGTATGGTAACAGGCCATAGCAGCAACAACATTGGAGGCAAAATGCAAGAGCAAGTGGGTAACACTGATAAAGGTGTTCGTTGCGGCGACATTAGCGCCCTCGATTCGTTACTGGTTATGTTGAGATACAAATACGTGTTTGCTATCAAAATTTATGCTTTGACCGGCTTAAGTACCTTAATGTGGGTACATATATACGTATGAGTGTATGTGTGTGTGTGTGTGTGAAAATAAGTATATGATCTGTTTCGATTGATCCGGTGCTCCGGTGCTGGTGCTGGTGTTGGTGGTAGTGTTGATAGTGAGAGAGCGGCTTATATTAAAAGATATTCGGTAGCTGCTAGACTTGGACATTAATCGATAACACTTGAGTATTTTTTCATGTTTCAAGGCGAGCCATTAAGCGATTGTCAGCAGCATGTTTTGCTGTTTCAAATGCGGCACTTGCAAGCGTACGAGTATGCGATAAGCCGAGGTGAGGAACAGCAAAGGAAGTGTAAAGTAGTACATAAACTGTACATTGCAACATTAAAATACAGTGCAGCAAAAGTTAAATTTGTGCCTGCATATAAAATAATTTTAATGAAATTCCTTTTTGGCGAGATACACTTTAATTGTGAACTTCACCTCAGCCCATCCGGCGCAGCCCGACGCGGCACGGCTGGCACGGCACGGTGCTGTGCTAATGATTGCCAAAAGTGCAGCTTCTGTTGGTATGTGGCAATTATTTTAAGACAAATTTATTTGCACGTTGGCATCTTAACCCGCACATTGCCAGTTAAATTATTTTAATTTAATGCGTACAAGTCGAGGCGGTAAGAATTACCTTACTAACTTTGAGGCTACTGTTTAGCATTCAGGATGACTGTCTGCATGTCAGTATATAGTAGAGTAGAGCAGGGTCGAGGTGGCTTAGCGCGACTAGGTATGGTGCGACTGGACACTAAAGTGTTAATAACAAATGGTGGCATGTTTTTCAAAAAAATGTCACTTAATGGCAGGAAGCGAGGCTTTAGTTGCCAGTCTTGCCAGTTTTGCCTGCCTTGCCTTCTTCAGGTCCATTGCATGTCACTTTGAGTTAAGTAGTGACTCTGGCGTTCGTCCTTTTACAACTTAACACTTTAATTGAAACGAATGCTGCTTTGACATTAAGTGACAATAAATTAACAAAGTTGCCGCCACAGCGTAGGTGATTCTTTTAGAGCAACGCAACCTGCACATTTCACAATCATTAATGGAGCTATACGCGCAGGTATGACGATTTCAAAGTATCTCTTGTATTGTAAAGTATCTCTTGTGAGTATTTTGTGACGTTGAGTATTCGGCAGTCAGTGTTTACCATTCAATAAAATAGTTTAATTTTTTATATTTATTTTGTTTTTGTTTTTTGAATGAGCATAAATAAAACACATAGGGTTTTTGTATGTATAATTTTTTGTTTCAACAGACTACTTGAGAGCTGCTGAAATACAATCTTATGTAAATTAGCCTGAGAACAACAGGTTCGGATACACGTTTTAGCCTGAGAATTTTGTGTGCTGGTGACACTATAAAATATCACTTAAGATAACTGAATGACATATAAAATCGAAGAAGTTTACGATTTCAGGTGAAAGCAGTTTTATGTTGTTGTTGCGATGCTGTGCCGTGTAGCTTCGACAGGCACAGTGACCTGCACAGTAGCTGCTTTTAAACTACAAAAATTTATTAGTTTTGCTAATGAGCGGATGTAAATTCATTAAGAAACAAAAATAGAAACAAAAATGTAAATATTCAATTTGAGTTCTGAAGATTTATGCAAATTACGAAATTTGTTATTATTGTATATATCAAAACCTGTTGGAGAAAATTATGTTGCCTTTGGCATGAGACCATAACTTCAAACTCTAAATACTAATGCCACATATGGAGATTTTTGAAAAATCACCACGATTAGGAAGTTTCTATTTCTATTAATTAAGGATTTATTAAGAGCTTTGTAATTCACAAAAGAGGACAGAGTTTTTAATTTTGGAAAATTGGAAATTACTTTAATATGTAATTACTTCAGTATTCTTAGGGTCTAACTAACTTAAGTCTAACTTAAGTCATACTTAAGAAATTGACTTAATTCAGCATTTAGAGACATTGCTGCCTTTGGCATAAATGGCTTCAAACTTTAAAATCAAATTTCCATATAGTTTGTTTCAAGTAAGATTTATTAAAAGGGTTAAAGTTTTTAATTTCGAATCTTAGATTTATTATATTTAAGAATATTTGAAAACTTTAACAAGTAATGACTTCATTATACTTAGAGTCGCGCTTTTACAATTCGTACCTTAAGTCACAAAACTGGCTTAAGTCATGCTTAAAAAATCAAGGTTGGTGACTTAATTCAAACTCATAATACAGAAGCTTATGTAGGCAGAGTTGAATACTTCAATATGTAATTACTTCAGCATATTTAGGATCGATCTCACAGTGGAAATTAAATCTTAGTACTGAGTTAAGCCATGCTTAAGAAATCAATTCTGCAGACTTAATTTAGCATTTAAAGAGAATTATGTTGCCTTTGTTATGAAAACATGGCTTTAAACTCAAATAAGAATTTATATCAACATACTAACATATAAATATTTTTGAAAAACAACCATATTTAGGAAAAACCTGTTTACAGGAGGACCTATTAAGAGCTTTTTTTTTAATCCACAGAAGAGGTTGAAGTTCTTAATTTTGAATATTTTTTTTTTTTTTTTAAAAACATATATTTATTTATTGCATCTTCTCTTAAAATGAGACTAACAATAAGTTGTAAAATCTTATAACTAATTACATAATGTTACAAATTTTTATTTTAACTATACATTGTATAAAATAAAATAAAATAAGTAAACCTTATATCACGAACCTCACTTAGATTAATAGGTTAAATTTCATTGGAGTGAATGTTAGGTGGTTTCTTAAGAAAGTGGTTCAACTTTAACAGATTACTAAAAAGAAAGGTGCGGTTTTTACTTCAAGCTGTTGAATATTAATTAACGGCTGGACGGTCAGCTCTTTTTAGGCGGGAAGCAATGGATAGAAGTGCGAGATTTCTTGCAAGGGATTAACATGCTCTGTCAGCCTTTTATTGTATTTTTTTCTTATATTGTCAAATTCAGCTTTAACTAGGGGAATTTGTAGATCTCGGTGTATACTTTCATTCCTAATATACCATGGGGCACCAGTGATAATTCTTATTATTTTTGACTGAGCTCTTTGTATAATTTCAATATTTGAAGCACTAGCATTGCCAAATAGCTGGAGACCATAAGTCCATATTGGTTTTATGATGCTGTTATACAAGAGTACTTTACACTCTAGGCACAGGGAAGATCTGCTGTTAATGAGCTAATGCAACTTAGAGGCTTGGAGCTTCATCTGAATTTTTTTGGCTTCAATCTGTTTGCGCTAAGTCAGTCGTCTGTCTAGGTGGATACCTAAGTACGTTATATTATCTGCTTGTGGTATGGGAATGTTGTTTAGTAAAATTGTTGGAGATGTACTCCGATTTAAGGTAAAAATGACGTGTCTACATTTTAGTTCGTTAATTTTAATTCGCCATTTTGACAACCATTTCTCCACCCGATATAAGTGAGATTGAAGTTGGTTTGAACCTAGCACAGCGTTTCTGTTTCGGCATAAAATTGCCGTATCATCGGCAAACGTTGTGGTGATAACTGAACTACTTATCGGGATATCAGATGTGTAAAGTACATACAATATAGGGCCAAGAACACTTCCTTGTGGAACGCCAGCTTCTATTGGGAAATTATTCGAAGTATATGATTTGCATTTCACTTTAAAGCTTCTATTATGCAGATACGATTCTAGAACTGAGTGGACATTTGCAGGTAATGAATAGCGTATCTTATATATGAGTCCATTATGCCATACTTTATCAAATGCTTGTTTAACATCGAGGAATACCGCGGAACAATGTTCTCTGAGCTCAAATGCGTGTCTTATTTCATTCGTTATACGATTCACTTGCTCAATAGTTCCATGTTTTTTCCTAAAACCAAACTGGTGGGACGGTATTAAGTTTTGAACGTCAAGGAACGGTTTTAGCATGGTTTTAGAAAGGCATGGCAGTAAGCTTATTGGCCTGTATGAAGAGGCAAGCGTGGGGTCTTTACCTGATTTATGAATCATGATAATCATGGATGTTTTCCACTCTGTTGGATAAAAGCCAAATTTAATTATGGCATTAAAAAGTCTTGTGATAAAATTTATGGCCAAAAGGGGTAAGTTTTTTATCATGATGGGTGAGATATTATCATATCCCGGTGCTTTTTTGCAATCTAACTTGTTTGTGCTAGTATTATAGAATAAATAACCAGGAATAGAAAAGAAATTTTTGTTAGTTAGATGTGTTTCTGAGCAAAGCATTACATCCACACTTTCTCGAGACATGAAATTTGTGAGTTCAAGTTTATGTTGGCTTAAGCCGTTTGCATTCCATGTACAAATTTTTAAAGTACTCATTATTTAGACAAAAATTTGCATTAATTGGCTTTGCATTTTAACTATCTCGTTAAGAGTAGTTTGCATGATTGACATGAACTGAGTTAAGCTCTGAGTGAGAGTGGAGATCATTATTTCCAAACTATTACTTTGAACTGGAGGGGCTTATTGCTTGTCAGATTTAACGACATTAGCAAATGAAACACCTCGTGTAACAGGCTTAAAAGTTAAAGGTTGAGGTACTTTAACTAATTTAATGGTGTTGCTTCTTGTAGGATTACGCAACGCTTCTTTCTGCAGAGCTAACCTGTGCTTCAGTTCTTTATAAATGGGACAGCCTCTGTAGTTTGCAGTGTGATTTCCACTGCAGTTGCTACATTTTTTGGAGTTGGTATCCTTTAATGCTTTTTTATCGCATTCGGAACTATGGTGAAGCTCGCCGCAAGCTACGCACACTGTACTAAGAGTGCTATATGACTTAGTATGGCCATACTCTTGGCAGTTTGTGCATTGCACCGGACCATTTCTTTTGTGGGGCTCCTCAACGCTAATTCTGCGGTGAAGTAAATACTGTAGGTTGTAGATGGGATGGCTCTCATCTTTTTTAAGCTTAGAAGCTTCCGGGTGAAGTTCAACTTTGAACATAGGTTGTGGGATTTTATCTTTGTTAACAATGTTTATAACTGTTATCTCAATGGGGTCTACATCTGATTCGATACCTTTAATTACGACAACAAGGCCCTTACTACTCTTTAGTTGGTATGTGTAGTAATTTTTTTGCTGTCTTCGAAATATTTGGTTATGACTCTAAAATTGTTTTCAGTGTCGATTTGGATTTTGGTTTCGTGTATATTGCCTCTAGTTATAGGAACAATATGAAAAGTATTATTTCCAATCAGACTTGCAAGGATTGT